AAGGCCCCCACCGTCGACTCTGAAAGGTCCCCTGTCATAATTAGAGGAGACTATACGCCAAAACTCTATTCGGATTATTAAGGTCCCGAGAGTATCCTCTTAAAGGTCCTTATCGGGCTTCCTTCCAGTGGAGGCGTCGGGCTGCTGGAACTGGGTTCGAGGGGTCGGGCCCGATTTGATTGCGGGGTTTCTGTGCCTGAGCTACTAGCAGTTTATGGTTTAGGGCCGACAGGGTCCTGAACTACTAAGAGGTTGGGGGTTTAGGGCTTGGGTGAGCTTTTATGGGATGAAGGAAATCTCCAAGCTGCAAGTACTGGTCGAGATGAACATGAAATTTTTTCGGCTAAACCCTAAACCCTCAAACACTAAATCCGAAAACCCTCAACCCCCCAAGCCCTCAACCCGAAACCCTAAACCCTCAAACCCTCAACCCGAAACCCTAAACCCTCTACCTTCGCTTCGGACGCTGCCTGTGTCAGGGCTGGCTGCAGTGCATGGCGATCACTCCCGATGGCCTGTATCCCAGAGCCCGCATGTTGGGGGTTCCGAAAATTAGGTTTTTGGGGTTTAGTCTAGTGTATATATTATAGTGTACTATGGTATATAATATTACAGTATATACTATGGTATATTGTAGTTCAGTATATTAGAGTATATTATAGTTCATTAGAATTCCCGAAAGTTAGGGTATATGTTGGGGTCCTTATAACTATCCGACTATTTAGGGTGCTATATTGGGGGCTCCTGTTTTCGGAAAATCCCATGCAGAGGGCATTTAGGTGCATATCCGTGGAGATAAGAACAAATTGGTCGTGTCATTCAGTGGTGGTAAATAGTTGTAGCTGCAAATCGAGTTAAGCAGGCCTTTTTTCTGCTTTACGCAGGTTGTCGAGTCTTCAGGCACGGTACTATTTTTCGCGTGTTGTGCTGGCCTCTAGCCTTGTTCCTACTACTGCGATCGGACTGCTGCTTCCTGCCATCACCAGCATGGTGATTGTCATTGTTGCCGTCCTTTGCCTTACTCTTGTAAGTCTTGTTCCACTACTACTGTTCAGATGTTTATGGCAAGTGCTGCCATTACCTTCTCCGTTTTTTTTCCGCACTGCTGTTGCTACCCTTTGTTCTAAGAGTACGCACGAGTGCTTGGGTGGGTGTATAAGGTTGTTCGGTGAACAGGTTTGGATACGGTGCTGTAGCTGGGAGCTAACTCGTAGCTCGGTTTAGGGTACCTACCAACCCTGCTTATGCCTACGTGTGAATGCTGCAAAGGTACCGGCTTTCAGCTGCCCCGCAGCTCCGGTGGGCGAGATGAGGGCTCGGGGCCATTCAGCGCCCCCCAATGTACAGCACCCATTTTAATTAGGACCTTGACAGGGACCCGGGACCCGAGTTCAGAAATCTACTCCAGGAACCCTTTCAGCAACCCCTTAAAACGAACCCTAAAAGGGGCTCTCATATTATACAGAACTAGCCACATCCAGGTTCCCGATTGTTTGCTATCTCCGACAACCAGATCTGGCGCTGGTCGGTCTGCGTAGAGGAGCCTCGGTGAACTCCGGATGTGGAGTTTGGAGGTTTTTAGGGTCTAGGGGTTTCGGCTTATAGGATTCAGAGTTTTAGGGTGTTAAGGGTTTTGGGTCTGGGGTTTAGGGTTCTGTCAGGGCCTGGACAAGAGCATGAGCGTGTTTAGCATTGACTACTGTCTATGCTGAGTGCTACTTTCAGGGTGAGTATGCCTGCAACCGTGAGGATGACCGTGACTATGACTATGACCAATCATTGCATTGCGAGCTAGTACCAGTACTAGTACTAGTATGTACTAGTGCTATCTCTATTGCTGCTACGACTAACTCGTGATATTGAATTTTCTTGGTCTTAGTCTAAACCCCAAACCCTAGACCCTAGGCCCGCGACCCAAAACCCTCAGCCCTAAACCGTGCTTCGGCCATCTGACTCCTCTGCCTCGTCTCGTTCACAGCCTCGCCCGGGGCTTGATGCCAGAAGGAACGCTGCACAGAACAGTTCTGCTCTCGGCGTATGAGTTTACAGTGTTTGGATGAGCTATATTCTAAACTCCTTAAGGGGGGCCTATATACGGGACTACGATAGCAGATATGAAGCGGGAGAATAGAAGTTTAGACTATAGCTTAAACGGCTGTCGGAGGCTTGGCTGCCACCATTTCGGAGGTTGGGTATCCCTTTCCTAAAGGTCCAAAGCCCGAAGCCCTAAAACCCTTAAGCCTTTGAACATGTCTCACACACTGGAGAACGTTTCCAAGTTAGAGAACCACTCTGCAAACCTCTGGTGAAACCCTTACCTAGACTCTAGACGCTAAGACGCTAAGCCTCTAGACCTCATAGACCGCGTAAGCCCGAGTCGAAACCTTAATCGTAACCCGGGCCAAGAAAGATCCTATCACGTAGGCTTACAGTAAAAGCATAATTTAAAACTTGGTACGAAACCCCTAAACGGACCCCCCCTTCGCGCTAAAACCGCGCAAGGAGAAGTGGCCGGCTGCAGTAGAGTTCCTGGGCGTTGCGCAGGAGCAGGCAGTCAGGGTTCAAGATGATTCATATAATGAAGGGTTCCTAAAAGGGTTTCTAGGTTTCTACAAGGGTTCCGAAAAGGAGAGTGTCCTGCAAGTCAGAAACTGAAGCTGGATCTTCATCAGCAATGAGTCAGAGCAGGCACAAGGTTTATTTTATCTAAGACAATATACGATAACATATGATAATATGTTTTAATATATAAAAAGAATATGCCAGATCACACTATTTTACTATAAGTGCTACTTTCGGGTCAGCCCCTAAACCTTTTCTCAACCTTAAAACAAAACACTTATTCCGGGTGGTGAGTCCCCTCCATGACGGCAGGACGACTCTGAGAGGGCCGCCGCACCGGCTGAGACCGAGGCACCCTTTGAAGATCCCCTGCTAAGCTTTCGGGTGTAGTCTTTTGTACTTTCGGAAGCCTCAAAGTTAGGACCACGTTGAGCCATGTAGTCTTAAGTCTCAAGCCCGTCGCGAAGAAGTGCTGAAAGGTCTCCCAAGGTTCTTATAAGGGCTCGTTTGGGCCTGATGTGTGGTTGTCAAAATCATGGTCCCCGGCTCGCCCAAGTTTCGGGTACCCAAAAAGGGACCTTGATTTTGACAACAAGCCTCTTAGTTGCTCTACATCCGAGCCTCGAACCATCTCGAACCCAAAACTCTGGAGCTGTCAACGCTTAGCCCCGATTTTGTAAATCTTACGCATTACTTGGAGGATCAGGGGACTTAGTAAGTACGGTTATACGTAGGGCATCTATAGTTAAATCTACTTATGACCCTAACTCAGGTACATCTAACCTTGCTTACTAAGTCCCACGATCCCGAAGTCAACCTGTAGGTTCCTGAGTAGTGCCCTTTTGCCCTTTCTTCTTTTGGGGTTCCCTTCTTAGAACAGAATCGTAGCAAAAAGGGTAACCTTATCGTTAAGAGGCTATGCGGGGCCTAAACCCCGTAAGCCTACACCCCAAAACGGAATTCAGGCCTCGTAGGCAGCAAACGAAGTTTATTTCGGAGCCTTGCCGCAGGTCCACGAGTCAGACGGTGGTGGTCCCAGAGCAGAACTCGTGGGTAGCGGGATGTAGGTTAGAATGGAAAAGCCAGGGTTCGGGAATAGATAAACGTACAAAGTTTCAGGGGAACGGTGTGCCATTAGCTTTGAAGGCTCCTATTGGGTTTCCGAGTTGTTTCGTGTGAACTCTCCACGCCAGGCTATGTCTCTTGCCCTCACACGGGGTATTAATTGTTGCAGGCGCGCCTAAAACCAAAGAACCCCAAACCCTAGATCCTGAACCCCAAACCCCAAACCCTGAGGGCCTTGAACCCTAAAAACCTAAACCCCAAACCCTAAACCCAGAATCCTATGCCCGAGCGTGTGCAGGTTGGTTTAGGGATTAGGGTTCAGGGTGTCGGGTTTGGGAATTTTAGGGATTGCGGTTTGGTGATTCGGGTTTAGGGCCTGTGGTTTTAGGGCCTGATTCGTTGTCAGATCCAGCGCTGGCATTCGCAGAAGATGCTGCTGCTGAGCCTCGTCGCCAGCTCGAGGCGAGTTTGAACTGCTGGGTGTTGGTGTGTAGGCTTTGGGTTTCGTGTTTAGGGTTTGGGGTTTAGGATTGAGGGGTGGATCATGCGTACTATAGAAGCCTAAAAATCGACCAAGATTATTCCTTAGGTTCATGATTAGAACTATGGTAGTGGTAGAATATACTCCCAAAGCCCTCTTCCAACTATTAAGGCCCCTGTTAACCGGGGGTTTGGGGGGTCCCCTTCGTCTCTGAGGAGCCCCTGAGCCCCCCCTTGGATTGCCACAAGGCTTCAAGCCAGGTCTAGGGTTTAGGGGTTTAGGCGTCTAGGATCTAGGGTGATTAGGGGTTTAGAGCTTTGTCATCAGCTAATAGTTATTTACTGTTTGCTTGGTGGCTTTGGTGTAATTCTCAGGAACCCTTGTGAAACAATCAGCTCAAGTGTCTTTTGTTTTGAGCACTGTGTCGCTCTGGTTGTAGGTACCGTTGCTTGTTGCGGCCGGAATCAGACAAACCCTGACGAATCCGACATCCTAAACCTCCAAAAGAATCCAGAGAGTTCGTGCCTTAGACCCTAAATCCTTATCCCTAATGAAACACCAAGCCCTACGTCCCAAACCCTGGACCCCCGTATCCCTGAACCCAGGATACTCCGCCTCGGACACAGGCACCGGTGGTACGGATCTATGAAGGGGCGGGGGCAGAGTTCCTTTTGGTGTTCTTCAGGCTCTGCAGGTTGTTCTCAAGCTTGTTATTGAATAACTGGAAATGCTAGCTGGCAGGGACCGACTCGCCTCCGCAGCAAGGCTGAGGGAAATCGTAACGTCGTGATGAGAGTCTGTGGGCATAGTGTGCTACGGTATAGTTCTGTAGGCTTGAAGGATGGTCCAGAACTTAAGTTTAGGGTCAAAGGCTCTAACGGCTAAGGCCTCAACCCACTTCACCCGTTAAGGGGTGAAGGAAGACAGAGGTGAGGGGTGAATCTTAATGGTTTGGGATCCTGAGCCGTAAAGCTACACCCCCTAAATGCTGAACCCTGAACCCTACACCCAGAACACTCTATCCTGCAGCCTCACGCAGACCACGTTGTTCAAGGCGAGAACCAGAGATTTACTTCCACTTGAATAGGCGAGGAGGGCATTTCGGGATCCAATCAAAACGACACGTGATTGCTGAGTCCCTTAAATCACTAACCCCTAAACCCTCAAAGCCTGAACCGTGTGCCTGAAGGAGCAGCTACGTGTTGCCCTGGCCAGAGACTCAGACGTCCCTTGAGTTTTTAAGCCAACCCCCTTCTCAATTGCCGGAATCCATGTAGGTTCTTTGTGCAGGGTTTAAGGGCCCGCCTTCCGGGTGTCATGGTCAGAAGATTTAGGGCTTTGGTTGTAGGCTTAGAGTTGGGGAAACAGGGTTTAGCGGTTAGGGGTTAGGGGTAGGTAGGCTCTAAGATGCTTTATTGCGCGAACCTTGTTGTGGGATGGGGCCTTCAAGTTTGCCGAGAGATGATCCTGCACACGACACCCCTAGGCCCTAGGCCCTCCGCATTTACTGCCTGCAGAATCTAAGATCTAGGGTTTTGGAGTCTGAAGACGAGGATTCCGAGCTTCTTGCAGATGGTTCTCGGCCGGTTCCAAGAGTGCATGGGCTGTTCGATTCCATTTTCGACTACTAAACTAAAGCTTCCAAAAAGGTCAGAAGCAACGTTTCATTGATGGCCACAGGAAGCCGCAAATGTTTTGCTGGAACTGGCTGCGGCAGGCACCCGATACTCAAGAGTTTGGGATTAAATTAAAAGGTCCTACTTCAGAGTTTCAGTCTTCTGGGTTTTGGTCTAGGGCTTTGGAGATATGGGGTGCACGGGGTTAAGTTTCAGTTTTTCAGGAGCGGGGTTGGACACGCCGAATCGCCTCGCAAGGGGGATTGTGTGGTTGGAACTTAGTGACAATTTAGGCTTCGGGCTCGTAGGGTTCGCAGATTTATGCGTTTGGAGATTGGGGTTCCGAAGAGCATGGCGAGCCACAAAGCTTGATTGATCGGTACATTCGGCGTTTGCTACTCAAAAAAACGACACCCGGAAGCTCCAGTCGTGAACCTCACATAACCCCCATACCCCAACGCCGAAGCCCATATATCCCCCAAGCCGTAAACCCTTGGCTCAGAACACTGGTTGACAATTTCACAAGAAGACCGCGAAACGACATGACAACACACACACACACACAACGACGCAGGCGGAGTAAACATGCAATCTGACTTTCACTTGCCAACATTCCAACCCCAGGTTTCAACCCCAAAACCCTCAGTCCCAAACCCTAATCCTTCCCTCTTCACTCAAGCCCTCGACCTTGAGCAAGCTCAAAACTCGCCCAACCTTTCGCAATTTGCAGCAGCCGAATAGGACAAAGATATTACCCCTCCAATAAAGCTTCACGATTTGAGCTGGCAGTCCAAACGTTCTGTCGCTGTGAATTCGACACATTTTGGGCTTGGGTGGGGCTTCCCCCAATTTGCAAGGCCCCCAAACAAGACAAGATACGCCAGCCATTCACACTCTGAACCAGCCACGGAAAGGACAATGATACTGCCCCTCAACCTTTCACGGTTTCGGGTGGTGTCACCCTTCTCGGGGGGCTGGCAAATCCAGAAAGCGACAGATGCACAGAAAACCCACATGCATTGGCGTTTGTTTCCGTTCGTCACATTTGCCGCCGGCGCAACCTCACAGAAAGACCATTGCTTCTTCCGGCCCACGCCAGGACAGCCTTACAGAAAACCCGCATGCACCGAAATCTAGACTTGTGCTGCTTTCGAGAACCACCGCCAGCACAGCGAGCGCAGCCTCACAGAAAGCTCAGTGTTTCTTCCGGCCCCGCCAAAGCCAACATGCACTGAAATCTAGAAGTGTGTTTGTCCGTGAGCCCAATCACTGCCTCACAGAAAGCCCACTGCCTGCACTGGGCCCCGCCAGAAACAGGGCCACAAAAAGCCCACATGCACTGTTGCAACCTTGTCTCCGCTTGGAGAGCACATTCTCGCCGTGTTCTATCCCGCCATATTGCTTGGTTTTGCGAACTGATGCCCTAGCCACGTCGGCCACGCATGGTACGTTCATGTTCTATCGAAGAAGGCTGTCGTTTAAGACTCCCATTTCGCGAAAAAGGGCCTAGACCCCGTTGAAGGTGCCGGCCTCGTCATTGATGTCCGAGCATGGTTGGGATGCCTTGAAGCCTAGACAGCTGTGGAATAAAACCACAGAAAATGCTTGAACTCACCGAGGTCTTCGGGTGGCCGGCCTGCTACGCATAACTGCTAGCGGACTGGATGTGCACACACCAGCAAACACCCAAGACGTCACCACACTTTAAATTCTAGGCCCTAAGCCTCCAACCCTAAACTTCTGGCAGATCACGGCGACCGCCCCGGTCCTCCCTAGGACCCGCGGGGCCGACCCAGGCCTGGCTTAGGGTTTGGTGTTCACAGGCTTTAGATAAGTATAAATACGGCTTTCGGGTCAGAATAAGGATGCGCGTGTTTTGAGATATTCGTTTGTGTTCCTTGGTTTGGGGGTTTAGGTTTTTTGGAAGGGATGAGGGGTGGATAAGTTTGTGCTGCTTTTTGTTGCCTTCCGTCTGTTCTTCGCTTCGGGATTTTGGGTTCTAGAGATTCTGTTGTGTTTTAACAATCAGGAATGCATGTGCGACGGTTAGAACCAACATGTGTTTGACACTGGTGATGTACGGTTACACCAGAAGCTGCAACAGCATGCGGCGGGGAGGGGGTTGTGGAAGACGAGGGAGCGAGGAGGTAGGAGGAGGAGCAGCATCACCGTCATCATAGTAATAGCTCTGACCAAAACACAGTCAGCAAAGTAGCCTGCAGTCATATTCAGAATCTTCGGACTGGCAATGTCGCTGCGGAGAGTCACAGTGTCCATTCAGCACCTTCGCAGAAAACAAGGCCTTGATCCTTGAGCATAGAACCCCAAGCCCGAAAATCAAGCTCACTAATCTAAGCCTAAAGCGGATGATGTGGTCGAGGAGATTTGATTCTGGACCTTCCAGTTTCACGCTTGCCTGTAGCCCAAATGTGTAGTCTATCCTGTGCTGTAGAGGCCTGCGCCGAAGGTTAGTTTCTGAAGTAACGCGGTTGGCACTTCAGCCACTTCGCTGGGGACATCGCACGTTCATCGCGTTGCAGGTGAGAGTGTTCTCTTTTTTTGGCGACCGAGGCTTAGCTATAGTTAGGTCGTGCGGTCCCCACGGTGTAGGTCTCGTGCAAGATCATGGTTCAAACGGAAGTCCCGAAAACTTAGTATTACAGCAAAAGTTACCATCCACAACGTCCAGTAACGCCCCACGCACAACAGGCCGCCTTGAGCCTCTAAGCCCCCTCAGTGTCGTGCTTAGGTTATCTGAGCTATAGTCCAAACTCCTACTATTCATGTTAATATCCCCAAAATAGTCCCCTATATAATTTCCTACATAAACCCCATTACGGAGTTTAGACTTCAGCTCATCTAGGCTTCAGGTTCATAGGGATCCCCCTAGCCCGAGCTGCTCTCTGGAAGGGCCCAGATGTACTTTGGCCCCAAAAGGAGTTCTGCCGATTCGGTGTGTGTGTTTGGACTGACATACCAAGGATTTGATGCTCGGACCCTGAGCATCTGGTCCATCCAGCCGTAAAACCCGCAGACCCCCGCGACCTAAACCCTGACAGAGACCTCAACTTTAGCGGCTAAACTGGCCCAAGCTGGCCCAAAGCTCAAGCCCGGAATCCTAACGACACATCCCCACATGAACATCCCGCGAATCCTGGAGCCAGGTGCATCCGTCGTGGAGAATGGGAATGGGAAAGTGAAAAGGAAAGGGGAAGGGAAAGCGTTGTAGCCCTTTCTGTACGAAGAGAAGTGGCAGCTGAGAGCAGCTGCGTTGCATGCGTGTACAAAGTGAAGGGGTCATCGCGATTCCTTACCGACGTGAATCACGCGGTGAACTCCTTGATCTCAAACATAGCCCGCAGTCAGTTGAAGTGTTTGAAAAGCCTCCCAATTCGGCGGCCGTGGCGAGGTGGGCTGAAGTCTTTATCTCGGGTTGGATATTTGTGTGTCAATGATAGTGAGTAACATGAAGCCGAGTACAAGAGCGCTCCTCATGTCCACCCTCGGCTGTGCTGACGAGAGGGCGAATTCGTGCTGCTGCAGACTACTGCTGCACTACTCAATGGCTGTGCACAAGGGCTCGTGGCGATGACGGAGTATGCCGAAAGCATCCATGCCGAATACCATTCTGATATAATTTCGGTGTGCATTTTGCGCAGCCACACAAGTGCCTTTCTCTCTGTGTTCCAAGGTGCTTTTCAAGGAGAGACGCATCTAGAGTCTCTCAATCCTGGGCATGCTGCAATGAACAAACTCCGGATCTCTGGGAGCAGGCGAGGGCTGCCAAAACGACCTCATGCTTCACAGACTGGGGCGCCGGGCATTTCATGTCGTAGGCAGTTCTAGGCACTCTTGTACCACGAGGATTGCGGGACTGCCTGCTCTTGGCTGTGCCTCTGACTCAAGCAAGGTCGAATCAGCCCTTTCATCCGGCTTGGTATCGTATTCCTCACGGTCCTTGTTATGATGATGCTACAATGTCACTCCACTCCAAGGCTTGACGTCTCCTAGGGACAGATTTTCCGTTGCCAAGCTGTAGCCCGGAGCCCGGAGCCCATAACCCTGCGCTCGTCTGCTCCTTGGCGTCCGGTGGCGTCCTGCATCTCGCGACGCTCTGCCGGGGGTTTTACAAATCCGATCTCAGATTTGAGGATTTAGGGCTTTGGGGGTTGGGACGCGGTGTGTTTTCAAGGTTTAGCGCTTTAGGGGTTTAGGCTGCAGGGTGCTACAGGGTCTTTAAAGGTGTCATGCGCCTACAAGTTTTCCGGGTTTAGGTGGGGATTACTTGATTGCCCAGGGGACCTTGTAAGTCGGTTGTACGCGGGTAACTCTACTTATACCCTAACTTTACTTAAAGCCTACTTACTAAGTCCGCTGGGCCTGCGGGTGGGAATTCAGGCCTTTAGAGTTTCGGACTGTCAGGGTTCGAGATTAATACTTATTGGAGATTTCGGGTTTCAGGGTTTAGGCTACTGGGGTTTAGGATTTCGGGTTGCAGGAGGGTTTAAGATTTCGCATTGTAGGAGGGTGTAGGGTTTCGGGTTATAGGAGGGCTTAGGCTTTCGGGCTGTAGGATAGGGCCTTAGCTTTTCGGTTATGAAAGAGTAGTTTGTACTTCTGAGGGATAGTTGCCCTGCCTAGACAATGAAGCAATCGTTTCTAAGCTTTTCGACAGCATTCGGTATGTTTGCTTCGCCTACACCCTGGAACAGTTTTATTGTTGTGACACCGTTGCAGGTGTTTGCAACATAGCTGCTTGACTTGATCACAACATGGAACCACCTGCAAGTGCAGTTGCATCAAAATCTAAGCCTAAATCCCACTTAGGGGCTACCTGCTTAGTTCATGACGTTGGGGCAGGGTAGAGGTTCTCCAACACTGAAACCGCCTCAGCTTTCTCTAGATAGATATACATATCTGCACATATACACATGTATATCGGGGTCCAGCCTGGTCCGAATGCCCCAAACCCCGAACCCTAAACCCTAAACCCTGAATCCCAAACCCGAATCCTCAAGCCTTGTGGAGTTGAGGTTCAGTTCAAGCTAAGCGATCCATGTGAGGTCGTTGGAGCCGCGGTATACGCTAGACCTTAGAAGCACCACAATGCCAAAGAGCCCTAAGAGCTTTAAACCCAAACCCAAGATTCCACATATTCGTTAAGAGCAGCCCTGAACCCGTAGTTTTTTCTCATATCTTACCATCCCTCCCTAAACGCCTGTCACATCATTTCGGCCATGCCCAATTCTACAGCTAGTCGTTTAGCGCCCGACCGTGGGCAGCTTCCTGTTCTCTACTTTCATGGACATGTCCGATTCAGGATTTAGATTTTGACTTAAGTTCCGGTAAGGACAGTTTTGGGCTGTAGGATTGGACTTTAGCATTAGCGTGCTGGCTGCGGGCTTTCAAGCATAGCTTGCACCTTGGCTTTTTTGGTAGGTTTGGGGTTTCTCTTAGTTGTTTCATAATCCTATGAGCTCTTTGTGGCTGCTTCTAGTTCAGTATCACGACCAGCAAGTTCGAACCACGTTCCCAAGCCCGAAACCCGTAAACACGGCATGAACACGTCTTGCCCCGAAGTCTGAAGCCCAAGTCCTTGTCTAACCCCAAGCCCCCAAACGCTACGAGCCCCCAATCTCCGCCCGTAGGATCTGAGAACCTCAAAATAAGAGTTAACTTACCCATCCACCAGTAAACACTACCCATTCCCGCTTGACTTGTACCCAGGAGGATGAACCACACGGCTCCTTTGCAGCATCTGTCGAAGAGTGGTTTGCATGCATAACTGCATAACATACCCTCGAGGCAGCAAGGTCTGTACTACACCACATCGTATGCACCCAGTTGGGGATTGGGAGGTTTTCCATACTGCTTGCATGCAACTCGCGAGAGGTTGCTCCCCGTCGCGTACGGGATGTGTCGCCTCACCCGAGCAACATGTCTTTGCTCAACATGTTCTGTGCTAAGCATGTTGTCTGGTCCCTGACGAGGTCGGCAGGAGTTATGATGGTGATGATGAGGTCCATGTGGTGCAGGTGATGATGACGACGGTGATGTTAGACGAGAATGAGGATGAGGATGAGGATGATGACTATCATGATGACAGTGATGCAAGACGGGCATGAGTGTGGCGATGTAGTGGTAATCTAGATGGTGGTGAAGTGAAGTCTGTGGTTGTCATCGGGGTGATGCATGAAGGTGAGGATGTGGCACTCATGTCGATGGTGGCGAAGTGGATGTCATCCGGGTGATACATGAAGGTGACGGTGTCGTGGTCATATTGATGGTTGCTAAGTAAAGCCTTTAGCCCTAGGGCCGAGAATGAATACAATCAAGCTTTACACTACAATGCCCAAAACCTCTTTAACCCTGAATTCCGATGCCTTCAGCCCTGAACCATCAACCGCAGCACTCTCACACCATCAACTCCGCTACTACGTCTGACAAGACTCGACAGTCTAGATCTTGGCAGGCCAGCTTGACGCTTCTAGCTAGCAAGCTAGCGACTGGCAGTAGCAGTAGCAGTAGCAGGTAGTAGTAGTAGTAGTAGTAGTAGTAGTAGTAGTAGTAGTAGTAGTAGTAGTAGTAGTAGTAGTAGTAGTAGTACTCAATATTTAGTACTTAGTACGTACTACGTAGTACTTAGTAGTTAGTAGTTCGTAGCTAGTAGGTAGTAGGTAGTAGGTACTACTACTACTACTACTACTACTACTACTACTACTACTACGACTACTTCTACTCTACTACTACTACTACTACTCCTACTACTATTCCTA